AGAAAACACAAACTATACGCCACTATTTAATGGTTCTATGTGACTGTATTGCAACATTTTTTAGCAGTGCTATGGGTACAACATAAAATATATTAACTAAGGTTACTGACTGCTGTATATTCATTTAATTATGGGCCATACGGTAATGTCAATATTATTCCATTATTTTCTCTGTGATCGAAAGAGAACCTTTGAAAACAAAAACATTACTATCGTGGAGTTATTTTTATTAGTTTTTTTAATTATTTCACCTACAATACTTACCCTAATTAACTGAGCATAACCATATCGGTCTCCATCGTTTCCTCCTTCTCTGAAACCAGGATATTCCCAATCCAGCTCTAATCCATCGAATCCGTGTTCCCGGAGGTAACGGATAGCACTGCGGATAAACCTCTGTCTGTTCGTGTAGTCAGCAACAAGCTGGGAAAACCTATCAATTGATTCAAACCATTCATGAACACAGATTACTTCTTAGATGCAAGAACATATTTATAACAAGGTGTTCACCAAATACGGCTTAGCACGAACTTATTTGAAACAATGTGTTTACCAAATACGGTTTAACACGAACATATTTAGAAGAAGCTGTTCAGCAAATGCAGCTTGGCACGAACATAAGTTTGCCAAATGTGTTTACCAAATATGATTAACACGAACATGTTTGGAACAAATTGTTTACCAAATACATATTAGGACGAACTTGCATAAAACAAGGTCTTTATCAAATATAGATTAGTAAGAACATATTTAGAACAAGGTATTCATCAAATACAGATTAGAATGAACATGTTTAGAACAAGGTTTTCACCAAATACAGATTAGCACGAACGTGTTTAGAACAAGGTATTCACCAAATACAGATTAGCAGGAACATGTTTAGAACAAGGTCTTCAACAAATACAGATTAGGTCGAACTTGTTTAAAACAATGTCTTTACCAAATATAGATTAGCACGAACATATTTAGAACAAAGTGTTCACATGAAAATAAAACCTTTCTCAAGTTCGATGTCTAGAATGAAACTCCTAAAACATACGAACTGTGGTATGAGCATACTTTTTTAAGAAACAAGGAAAATTTCACTAACCGCCGGGTAAGTTATTGATTCTAATACATATAGTACACGCCAGAAAGTAAGTGATTAGAGATTAAGTTACTAATTCATTTGCGTACACGAAAATTAACCAGTCTGTATGACTTTATGATTGGTTACTGATTCTGTTTAACCACATAATGCGTCACAGGTTTCCGTTTGACTACCTAATGCGTCACTGGTTTCTGTTTTACTCTAGCATTGATTACTAATTCTGTTTAATTATCTAATGCGTCACTAGTTTTTGTTTGACTATAGCATTGATTACTGATTCTGTTTAGCTATATAATGCGTCATTGATTCTATTTAACTATCTAATGCGTCACTGATTCTAATTAACTATCTAATGTGTCAGTGGTTTCTGCTTGACTACCTAGTGCGTCACTAGTTTCTGTTTGACTGCCTAATGCGTCACTGGCTCTGTTTGACTGCCTAATACATCACTGGTACTGTTTGACTACCTAATATGTCACTGGTACTGTTTGGCCACTTAATTAATTTTTGATTTTGTTTATCTACAGTATAGCTTACTAAAAATGAGATACAGATTTGATTTGATTTTTGATTTTTTTTTTTACTGAACTTGTTAACTACACAATATCTCATTAACTTCCTTTGACTTCAAAATAGATTACTGGGTATATTTGACTTTCTGTTTCACATTCTAAATGTTTATTGTTTTATATCTTACTACAAAATAGATTAGCGATCCCGTTTTACTGATTGTGTAAGCCTAAATAATGAGAAACTGATTTGATTACTGAAGAAACATTTTCTTTTTCTACTTTCCTTAGCTATACCCTATAGTGCTGGAAGGTCTTGTCACATACCATTGTGCCGAAAGATATTAAGTATACCCATAGTTTATGAAAGGCCTTAGCTATATCCTATAGTGCTGGAAGGTCTTGTCACATACCATTGTGCCGAAAGATATTAAGTATACCCATAGTTTATGAAAGGCCTTAGCTATATCCTATAGTGCTGGAAGGTCTTGTCACATACCATTGTGCCGAAAGATATTAAGTATACCCATAGTTTATGAAAGGCCTTAGCTATATCCTATAGTGCTGGAAG